GGCAATTAGGTGCTCACGTTAGAAACAGTCACACGGTATAAACTATTAAAGACGCGACCTGAAATAATTACTGATGAGTTGCTGACGACAGTGAGATATTTGGCATGCTAAATATCTGGACCTGTTGGTGAATCAAATCATGCCTTGTGAAATGAGTTTTGACAGAAAATAACATTGGCGATTACCTACAGTCAATGAGAGAGCAGCATCTACTAGCATACCTATATCTGCAGGCCAGCGGGAGGTTGGGGGTTCTTCTCAGTCTATTTGGATCCAATAAATGGAGGAAAAACTAGTGTTTATTTGGCAGGAGCACTAGTGTCTTCTAAGCAATCTCACAACCGGGTCGAAAAAGAGTTGAGGAGAAAATACTAATTCCCTTTAAAGCCAGGTGAGTAAATAAGTACATTTTCTGTCCTACTAAAAGCTTCTTTCTCAATATGAAGTTAATAATAAAAGATATACAACATGACCTTACTGTCATGTTCACCAGCGAACAACCACCAGATGTCGCTGGTAAACACACACACACACACACACACACTTAGGACTACAAATCTGCTGATTAACTACATATTCAGTCATGCCACACACACACCTGCTCCAAGTCTCCACTGATTAGAATCCCACAGTTGATCCTGCTTCAAGACTGATTACACACAGTATTTAAGCAGCACACACACACTCATTCAGGTTGCAGAGTCTTCTGTAACGACGGGGAGTAACACCACAACAGAAGGTAGGATCCAATATGCAGGTTTATTCACAGTCAGACAAGCAGTGGTCAATACGGAGCAAACAGGTGTGTGAGGACAATCCAGAATCGTAGTCAATTTAACAAGCAAGAGGTCGAAAGGCAGGCAGCAGACAAGGATAACTAAATAAACAAGGCTAGGTTCAAAACACAGGACAACAAGACAAGGAAAACGCGTTGTAATGATACTTTACAGTGAACAAGACTCGGCAATGTGAATGAGTGTGTGTGCTCCTTAAATACTGTGTGTAATCAGTCTTACAGCAGGATCAGCTGTGGGAGTCTAATCAGTGGAGACTTGGAGCAGGTGTGTGTGTGTGTGTGGCATGACTGAATATGTAGTTTATCAGCAGATTTGTAGTCCTAAGTGTGTGTGTGTTTGAGTGTTTACCAGCGACATCTGGTAGTTGTTCGCTGGTGAACATGACACTTGCATTGTTTCCATGTCAATTCTCATGTGTGTTTGATTGTGAGAGACTGAGGAAAAGTTATCGGCAACTCTTCCAATTCTAAAGTCATATAGAGTGAAACTCCCGGTCGCTGATCCATCCTACAGTGTAAACAAAGCAGCGACAAAAGGCTACTCCAGATAGTTGCAGTGTGAAAATATCTGTGACATGACTACTTTGAAAATCGTGCAGTCTAAACTCTGCATATGTGAGTGAAATTCAGTAAATTCTAAAGCATATGTAAATTCAGAGTAGATAGCTAAACACTTTATTCTTTGCACATAAACAAGCCATGAGGGATTTTGAAACATGGATACATCACATACACTTTTTTCAAACAGCTACTAAACAGCTTTAAATAAGCTATGCGCTCTTTAAGCATATTTACACATCTTTACACAGCAGATGTTCATTCTTGTGTGTCATGGGGGAATGCAGTGTTCACTGCTTTAATTAAAAGCGTTAGCCAAAGCTAATTTCTTTTAGGGTCGGGAAACACCAAGCTGACAAACAATAAACACACTGGTAGCACCAATGAAACCCATCTGTGTTGTAGCCTCACGTTGGATTGTATTTGTACCAAAAACACAGAAAATGGACAAAAAAACGACTAAAATGAGCCACATTCTGCACTTGCTCAAGAGGACGTGTCCGAACTTCTGGATTGCAAAAAGGGTAAACAAAACAGTGGCAGTACCATTATCACAGCAAAGGCTGATTTATACCTCTACATCAAGCGCATATGTTAGGGATGGGAAGATTAATCGATATGTATCGATACGCGGTCATGCGCGTGCACGATGCGAGTGCATCGGTTGAGCAGCAGAGGATGAATGAAATTTTGGAAGCAAATCGAGATGCATCGGTTTTTGCGAGATGCATCGGTTTTTCCAAGATACAGCATATATTTTTAATATAGAATGTATTTTTTATTTATTAACAAGTGTTGTCGACCTGTTTTTGGCGCATAATTTAATCGACCTACATAAAGTAAGCCTTAGCAACGGATTTGCGGATTTGTACACTTACACTACAACTCAGTGTATCAGGTGTGCGGATGAAGCTAGTGGTGCGCCCTCAGAAAGCGCGAGAAGCAAAACAAACATTTTAGTCCCCACTGAGTTTTAAATCTAAAGTATGGCAACATTATGGATTTAAGGATGGACGACTTGACAGGACAGATGCAATTTGCATAATGTGCCGCGCATCTATAAAATACGCGGGCAGTACGAGTAATCTGAAATCTCACTTGAAGCGGCGCCACGGTGTTGTTGTGAAAGCATCTTCCAGTGTTTCTGCATCCCCGGCTTCCTGCACTGCTTCAACTGTAGCTACCAGCTCCAAAAGTGGTGAGAAAAGCATTGCAAGTTTTTTTTCCATGCGCAAAAGTTTTGTGCGCTCTATGCCAATAACGGATGTTATTGCATTGTTCATCTGCAGGGCCGGAGCAAGCTGAACTGCTGCTCTAGGCAGAGGACGATCACGCCGCCCTCAACCCCAATGTGAAAACGAAAGTGACCGGTTATGAAAATGAAGTGACGTGTCGCGGACCTCTATTCTGCCGCCCTATGCGCGGATATAACTGAGGACGCGCGGGTGTTGCGGACCTCTATTCTGCCGCCCTATGCGCGGGTATAACTTAGGACGCGCGGGTGTCGCGGACCTCCATTCTTCCGCCCTATGCGCGGATATAACTGAGGACGCGCGGGTGTCGCGGACCTCTATTCTGCCGCCCTATGCGCGGATATAACTGAGGACGCGCGGGTGTCGCGGACCTCTATTCTGCCGCACTATGCGCGGATATAACTGGGTGTTGCGGACGCCGCCCTCTATATACTGCTGCCCTAGGCGGCCGCCTAGGTCGCCTCTATGGACGCGCCAGCCCTGTCCATCTGTTCTTGTTGTGCAATGATAAACCTTTATGTTGAAAGAGTGCAAATATATATATTTTAATATATATTGCCCTTATACATTCTGTTTATCTTGAAAATACTTAAATAATATGTGCTATATGTTCTAAAATGGCCCTCTACTGTAAACTGACACTCTGGCTCTGAGAGAAAAGCCAGTTTGTAAAAAGAAATCTTGGTTTTGCTTGGTTAATAAATAATCAAACTCATTCAATGGCACAGCATCCTGTTTCACATAATCTTATAAACTTGATTTAATTAGTTAGTGCTGAATTATCACATTGTATCGTGATATGGATGTGAATCGTATCGTGTTGCATCGCAATATGTCACAAATGTATCGCTAATATATCGGATCGTATTCTTTGTATCGAGATGCGTATCGGATCGGCATTATAGCTTAGATGCCCAACCCTAGCATATGTACAGTCCGTTGCAGCCTTTGCGTGGTTTCATAGCCCTCACCATGGCTGATGTGCAATGATTTGTAGTGCAAGCTCTGTGATTGGTTGGCTTGGTAGCGATGATGAGTTTGGGCAAGGATGAGAGCCGTGCAATACCGTTGGAGCGAGTGTTAACAAGTGTCGACTCCTGTAAAGGAGCTCCAGATGGAAACTTTTGTTTTGTGTTTCCCTTATGATTATAGTTGTTGAATGTCCGCCGGTTCATGCCTCAAAATGAGCGAGTTTGAGCCACTTGTACATTAAGAAAAAAACAAACAACAAGCAAAAAAACTCTACACAGAGAAAAATAAACACCTACTACCAGCTAGTGTTACAGAAGTGTTATTGCAGAGCAACACAAACAGCGTGCAGATGTATAAATGTGCAACTACGAGCAAGGCATGCGCCGTGGGTCAAGGTGTTCGCTCGTCACAGAGGTATAAACCAGTCTTAAGTATAGTTCACACTACAGGATTTTAAGCTTGATTTGAGCCAGATTTGGAAGTTAATAAGCTCGTCGACAGATCAAGCTGTGATCGGGAAAAAATCTGTGGGTGCAGTCTTTATGTGTGAACTACTGAACAACACATCAGAGAGGCTCGCAGAAGCATCGCCAACACCTCTCAGATAGAATTCCAATATCTAGCAATATCAACAGACTTATAAAAGACGTCATATCAGATCATATTTACATTCAAAACTTCTATTTTTGAGAAATTGAAATTAAGCTTTGAATGACTGTCATCGTATTTTATGACACCATTACCCTAAACATATTATCTTTTCGGGTAATACTGCCTATAAATATGTAGTTAAGAGACATGCGCAAAGGTCTGGGCCTCAATTTTATTTTTAATTTCAAAACGAAAAGTAGCAGACAAGCGTGCAGTCATTTAGACCAATATGGTAATTAAAGGTAAAAATGCTCGGTTCTTTACTGTTTTGTCATTTTAAAAAATGACATTGTTAGAGAGAAATGCACAGAAAGAATGAAATACACAGATATTTCGGAAACGCCAGAACAAAAATTTAAAAACTTAATGTTCAAAGTTATGTCGCGTGAACTAGTCTTAAATTGTCGCTAAACATGGAGGGATTTGCTGGTGGAAATATGTCTGATAATCTAATAATCCATCTCATGTGAGAAATTAATGAAATTACAGCTGGCCCCTTTGAAACCTTTCTTAACTTGAGTTTTTCATTGTCAATGTCACTTCAATACATAAACTACAAATAACTACTCCTAGTACTCTCTTCAGCTGATGCAGATTCTACACGCTAAATTGGGCCAACAAGCTGCGACTTTAACTTGACGAGAGGTGACGTGGAAAACACCAAACCAACTAGCCTGACAGATGGACCGAAAAAGCCTAATGGCCAACCATTTTCGTAAATGTGTCCCAGCCCTTAGACTTGCATTTTTTGCACAGTAGATATGCAAACCTTAGGTTGAGGTTGGTAAAAACTGACAGTCAACTCTCGGCTCACCATTGCTGGGTGTCACTTCTACCTTGGAGACCCAGCAGATCATCTGACTATAGAGACCTGGGTTTTGGTCACTCTGGTCTCTAAGTAGGTTAGGTCCTCTACCAGCACGAGCCACCGCCTGCTCCTGTAGTTGGATCTGAATGGGATGAACACCATTGTCTGTGTACACTCCAACACGGTTGAGGGCAAGTTTCGGGAACAATGAGAATAGAAGGTTTCGCAGCTCCTGTCTAAAAGCTTTATTGAAGTAAAAGTAAATGAACGGGTTGTAGACATGGGAGCTTTTAGCAAATAGTGCAGGGAAGATGAAGCCTTCTGGTGCCATATACTGAGCGTCTTTGTGGAAGATGAATAGGAAGGAAACAACAGCGTAGGGAGCCCAGGCAAGGATAAAGCCCAAACTTATGCAGAAAAACATCTGTTGAATGAAAAGAGAACAAGTTTAAAACATTTTGATGAAATTCACTAATTAAAAATCATTGCTAGTATGCCACATAGACCCTGTGATTCCCAGATCCCCATTCATGTTTCTTAAGTTCCCCCCATAACTGCACATTTTGAATGTGTCCTTGAGCAAACAAACTCAAAGCTGATTTATACTTCTGCGTCAAATGCCGGCATATGCTACGGCACTGATGCATAGCCCTTCGCCGTGGCCGTTGCCGTCAGTGACGTGCACCTCTCAAAAAATGTAACTACATGTCGCAACGACGCGTAGCGTAAGCTCTGTGATTGGTCGACTTGGTAGCGCTGATGAGTCTGGGCGGGAGCGATTGTTTACAAGTGTGGAGTACCGTGAATGAGCGACGGATGGAAGGTCAATTTAGCTTATTCAATTCACCTATACTGCATGTCTTTGACCTACAGTGCATGACTGTGGGGTAAAACGGAGCACCCTGAGGAAACCCACGCCAACACAGGAAGAACATGCAAACTTCACACAGAAATGCCAACTGGCTCAGCCGGGACTTCTAGCTGTGAGGTGACAGTGCTAAGCACTAAGCCACCATGTTGCCCCTTTTTGTAATTAGCACCAAACTCTTCAACAGTCTTTTTAGCACTGTTCAAAAGACAAACTAGATTAATTCATGCACAGGTTGCACAAAAACGTGTCTCAGATGTGCATGTGGAGTCAAGGAAAAGTTCAGCAGATGAGTATAAGAAGTGATGGTGCAAAAGATTGTGGGAAATGTAGTCCATTTTCTTTTCGGCTTAGTCTCTTTATTAATCTGGGGTCACCCAAGCAGATTGAACCGCCAACTTATCCAGCACGTTATTACGCAGCGGATGCCCTTCCAGCCGCAACCCATCACTGGGAAACATCCATTAACACTTATTTACACACATACACTACACACAATTTAGCTTACCCAATTCACCTGTACCACATGTCTGGACTTGTGGGAAAACCGGAGCACTCTGAGGAAACCCACGCAAACACGGAGAGAACATGCAAACTCCACACAGAAATGCCAAATGACACAGCCAAGGCTTGAACCAGCAACCTTCTTGCTGTTAGGCAACAGCACTACGTACTGTGCCACCGTATCTCCAAGTGCAGTCAAAGTAATTGGTATAAGTGTATCTTGAAGTGTCATCTAGTGGAATTTTGTGGCACTCCAGTTGGAAACCATGACACTTTATCTGTCCAGTTTGATTTAGATTTGTTTCTTGTTTTGTGTTCTTTAAAAAGTAATTATACAACTGTGGTTTTAGCAAAGGCTGGCACTGATTTTCGTTACATTCTGCAATCACTGCACACATTACATATATTGCTATAAACTGAAGTGAAACACAGCAAAAACACTTAGGTAAAGGTGACAGTTAAGAAGTTTGTTGCAATGCTCTTAATGAAATCACTTACCACAGGCAACTGGGCCCTGGTTTCAAAATGGCATTTGGACATAATTCTTGCACAGACCACAACAAGCAACTATGTCTGTCAAACCAAGTTAAAGAAGCTTTACACTACGTGACAAAAGTCTTCTTGCCAATATAAAGTTTTAGAAAAACAAAAAATGGCTTGATCATTTTGTATCATGAAGTGGATTATGTGAAAGGCAAAGGCTTCTAGATTATGCTTATTTTTCCAAAATAAAAATATGATCATGCCTTAATTTAGAATTAATTAGGACAGTAAGGTTTGACTTTGCTTAGACAAAAGTCTTGTCACTTAACAGAAATAATGTACAGTATAGAATAAAAAAGTTATGCTGCAGTGGAAAAAGAATGAATACTGTGTATGACTCCCATGAGCTTGGAGGTCTGCATCCATACATCTCTGCAATGACTTATTAATAAAGTCATCTGGAATAGCAAAAAAAAAAAAAAAAAGCATTCTTAAAGGACTTCCAGAATTCATCAAGATTCTTTGGGTTCATTTTCCATGCCTCCACCTTCATCTTACACCAGACATGCTCAATAAGTTCATGTCTGGTGACTGGACTGGTCAATCCTGGAGCACCTTGACCTTCTTTGCTTTTAGGAACTTTGATGTGGAGGCTAAAGTATGAGAAGGACCACTATCCTGCTGAGGAATTTACCCTGTGGTTTGTAATGTAATGGGCAGCACAAATGTCTTCATATCTCAGGCTGTTGATGTTGCCATCCACTCTGCAGATCTATCGCACACCCCCATACTGAATGTAATCCCAAACCATGATTTTTCTTTCACCAAACTTGACTGATTTCAATGAGAAACTTGGGTCCATGCGGATTCCAATAGGCCTCCTGCAGTATTTATGATGATTGGGATGCAGTTCAACATGATTCATCAGAAAAATCTACCTTCTGCCACATATTAAGTTATTATTTATTGCTCTTACTACTGGGATCGATGACTTTTGTCAGGTAAAGTAGATTAAAGAACTCTGTATCATTACCATTAAGCATTACTCAGAGCTTAATGTGGAAAATAAAGAAGGATCCTAATGGCAAGACTAATTGAAAATATAATGAATAACTCACATAAATTGCATGTTGTATCACATTTATCTGCATGAGTGTTCCACTATTTGAAATAACTGTAAGTTTCGGATATTTAATTTGAAGTATCTTACCACAGAAAGGTGTTTTTCTGCATGGCGGAGGTTGCAGTGAATGCCTCTAGCAGAAAGTGTGCGTGAAAAGCGATAGATCTTCAGCAAGATTTTGCACTGTGAGACCATGATAAGCAGGACAGGAAGAAGCACGAAGCAGGCAAAGGAGCAGATCACATAAATAGCATCTTTTGTGGATGTATGGTAACGGCGCCAGGCTATGGTGCAAGAAATGCCATATGGTTCAGGCACGTACTCGCCCCATCCGAACAGCGGAAAGGACGACCAAACAGCAGCAATTAACCATGTGGCTACACAAACCAGGCGTATGTTGACTCCTTCAAGCCAGATAGCTGGAGAAAGAAAGAAGTACATTTTGATAAATGCGAATGTGGAGCACAAAACCACTTATGTTGAACACCAGTTGAAACAGTCTAGTGTATATTTTTATCCATAGTCACTAATACATAGAATAAGTCAAAATTATAGATTTTTATTTTATGCAAAAAAAAAAAAAAACTTTAAGCACTTCATTCATCCAATTTTATCTGTATTTTGATTTGTTTGAACCCTCAGATTCTACATTTAAAAACAAGTTGTATCTTGGCTAGATATTGTACTTTTCTTACAGGCTATACATCAATGGAAACTTATTAAATCAGCTTTCAGAAGATGCATAAATCTTATTGATCGGTTTTGTGGTCTGGGGTTACAAATGCTCTTATGTTTTTTTACAAAAAACACAACAAAAATTAGTACCACTGTAATGTATTTTGCTGTGAAAGAGCTATAAAAAGCTACATCCATAGTGACTTAAAGGTTTAGTACCCCCAAAAATAAAATTACTAATACATATATATATTTTTGCTGTGTGCTTATAGTGCACCAGCTGAACAGAACTGTTTTCCTTGTGTCTCTTCAATGCGCTTCTGCTTTTCTTTCAATTGTGCATGCATTTCACACAAAACTACAAGAAAAAACACTCCAGTTCAGTTGATGGCACTAAATGCATCAAAAGTGTACCCCAAAGTAGGACAAAAAGAGGGAAGTTACCCTCATTCCACCAAGTTCTTCTGGTGAAGGTTACACAAAATGCTTTATAAAGTTTTAAAAAGTTATATTTTTATTACAAAAACTCATCGATTTACTACACACTGTAAAAATATCCATATGAGATTCATGTTGGTTTTTGTTTGTTTGTTTGTTTTGTTGCTATTCATGCTTTTGAATTGCATAATGGGAACTGGCACTGCATTCCTCCTGCTAATTTTTACGCTGAAAAGTTGAACAAATATGACTTTTATTGACATTTTTAATAATTTATAATGATATATTTTCTGCAGGGCTTGACATTAACACCCCCAACCTGCCAATGCAGTTAAGTTTCAGTACCTCCCACTAGCCCCTTTGGCTGGTTAAAAATAAATTTCAAATTGCCAGTGCTGGCTCGTTACTAAAAATGTAAATTTTAGTTTATAACATGATATGATATGATATATGATATGATTAATAATGAGCCTAACGTTAACCATGTGTGCATGATCATACTTTCATTTTTGCACATGGAATGTTTTTCACCTGCTTTCATCTGCTTTTTTAGTTATTTTTATTAATATGGTTTAATTATTATCCTTTACAACAAGGTATGTGTAGTTAACTATGGGACCTTCAGCCAGGATAGATTATTGTGTTTTAGATCAATTATCATTTTTTTAAAATGTCAATTGTTTTTGTTAAACATTTTTTGTTAAATAAAATGTTTAATTATACAGCTATATTTTGCGTGTTTTTACACAATATTTAAAATTTGTGGCAGTGAAACAATTAGTTTGCTGTGACAAAGAGAAAATTGATAAATCCTTACTGTTGAGCCCTAAAAAGTCATGTGGAAAAAAATAATTGCAATGTGACACTGAAACACCAACACATTTGCCCATCCACATTAAGCAGTCACAACACGTACAACAAGTAATTTTAGCATGTCAAAGTCAAGTTTATAAAGTGAATTTCCCAACAACAAAAATGTGGCTAGTGAAAATGCAGTGGCTAGGCATGCCCATAGCCACGGCCAAAAGGTCTAGAATTTGTCCTTTTAATTATTTTATGTAATTTAACAATATATATATATATATATATATATATATATATATATATATATATATATATATATATATATATTTATATTTAATATATATTGTAATAAGGTGTAATTTTAAATAACTTTGGCCAGTAATTTGAATCCCATAGAGCCTCAAAGCCACAATATTGTGATGCGAGTCACGTGACAAAACCCACTAACTGAGTGGTAACATTTGAATCGTTGATGCGACATCCATACTGAGTAACGATGTGGATCAAAAAAAGCAAGAAAGGCAGTAGGCAGCGTCATTATTGGAAAATATTGACATATGTTCAAAAAGTCTGCCAAACTTTACTCACTTCCTAACAGATGAAAATCTGTCCCTATCCATGAAGTTATAGACTAATTGGCCGCGTTAGCTGGGATGTCTTGTATATTTATTGACTTGTCCAATACAAGACCTCCCTTTCCCTGTTTGCCATTATTTTTTTTAAATAACTGTTCGAGGAAGGCTTTAATGGCAAGCAGAGTCCTTAGCCGTCAGATGTCACTTCACAGCAAAAGGCGCTAATCCCATCACGTCTGTGTTTTTGAGGCTGTTTGCTCACTTCATTTGTTTTATTTTGACCGGATATAAATCCGATTGCTCAAACCACTTCAGAAGGTGATCTGGAATGCATTCCAGATTAAACTGTACAGGTCTAATATTTTTTAGATATAAATAATATAAACAAAATAAATTATGACCTGGAGAAAATCTAACCTGTGTCTGAAACACCTGTAGGTGCACTTTTACAGCCAAAATTCTATTAAAAAAATGTTTACTATAAGCATAAAATGTGTTCTAACTTTTCAGGCCTGTAGCCAGCGGGGGTTCTGGTGGCTCGGAATACCCGCCCCTCACTGACAAAGGTCCAGAATTTGTCCTATACATGAGCTCATTTGTCCTATTTTGACTGCTGCCATCATAAATGATGAAAAGAATCCATCGAAAAAGGCTTTAAGACCAAACGGATCCTCTGTCGGGTGTTGCTTTGACTATAATCTCATGTAAGAAAAGTGTTTACTGTATTGTTTATAAACAGAGAAAATTATTATTATTATTATTTAAATTATTAAAATTTATTATTTAAATTATTTATTCTAAATCTTGGACTTTATTTCTGAAATAAAAATGAGCAATAAAAAGGTGAGAAGCACCAGAAGCGGACCATGTTAAATTAATTTGAATATATTGTGGCTATTGTTGATATCCAGGAGTTTTTGATACTTTTTACCAAAGAAAATTGTTTTATTATTAAAATTTTTTTAATTTTTTTTTTTTTTTTTTTTAAATGGCCAAATTGTGACTGAGCACAGTTGAATGTGCTGGCCAGTTTGTTTTTTTGTCTAATAAATGATAGTGGGCTACAGTTTTTTTTTTTTTTTTTAAATTTCAAGATTGCTATTTTTCCTAATGATATAGGATGTAATAAATTTGTATTTTAAAAAATAGTCTTGTTTAATTTTTTCTTTGCTGCAAATTTATAATAAATATTTTTAGTACATTAAAGTGTCAGCTAATCCAGCAAAAAAAAGAAGAAGAAATAAAGTACTGCTTAAAATGTCACTAAAATGCAGTATTTAAATCTCATAGTTAAATGGAAACTGAGGCGTACAACTGCAAATAGGTCCACTTTTTGAGAAAAAAAAACCACCTCTTTCACCAGGCTAGCTACAGGCCTGCTAGTAATATTGGAAAACTACTAGCCACAGTGACTGGTTATTAAAATAGTTATCGTCAAGCCCTGATTCAAATCACTTTTATTGTAACATCATCAGCAGCATGTGTGCTGTGGTGAGTGAAAAGCTTGGGGTGTTTTATATCCAGCACGAAAAACGACAAAAATACAAGTAAAACACACACAACACAACAAAGTTTGTTTGTCTGTATAGAGTAGAGGAGCTATTATGTCACCTTGTAGGCTAATCGGCATAAAACTAGTTAAAAATCCCTATAGGATTCTGCCATACTGTAGGTTTTTCGAAGATTGCAAATAATAAGCTCTGTGTTCAAACACTGTTCATTACACTTACAGATTTTGTCCAGCCGGATAATCCTCACGAGAATACAAGCACTATTGGATCTTAAATGCAAACACAAGAATTGAAAAGCCAACATTAGGCTATAAACGGACTACAGTGCCTTCAGGGTGCTCGCCTGTGACTTCAGCCCCACCCTGCTTCAGACAACTTTTCAAGCTTATTTTTAGAAATGTTGTCCATAACAAACAGTTGATCTCTGTTTATTTTATTATAATCTATGCTATATATAATAAACAAATAAATTCGCAAAAACACATAGACCTACATGCCTTTTGGATCGTTTTTACGTGGGAAATACATTTGTTTTGCTTTACGGTTTTTGTAAAAGTTTTAAAACTGTATGTATAAATGTGTTTACATAGCATTATAATAGGACATATTTAAAGAAGTGTGTCGGTCGATTGCACATACCCCGCTTACCTAAACAGACAACAGAAATGAGGCATGAGGGACAAGTCTATATGCCTGCAAGTTCATCATGGATCGAGAACAACATTCAATATTCTTTTTATGTCACGAAGTACAGCGAAAAGCAGCCCATACAGTCACATATGCTATACATTTTATGAAGGAGTGTAAATATTGCAGTTATGACAGAGTTAAATGTGTCCAGATGAAGACAAAAATACGAAAAATTACTTGATCATGTTAAAATGACAGTTAATATGTATGTATTTTTACACATTTATTTACACGTTTACATTACTGAGAGCTGGAAAGAGACTGGTAAGCAGTATCCCCATATCTTTAATTAAAATAGAGGATCAACAAATGAATCTGTCTTGACGGTCTTCACAAGTGAAGGCATTATCTACACACAATATGAATTCATAATTAGAAAAATACTGCAAACTATAAAATACTATTCATGAAAATACTTAAATTACAGACAAATCCAAACATCCAACACAAGCAGGCTGCGCTCTAGACCAGTTCAGCTTGATGACGTATAATGTCTCTGACACCGTCTGTAGTCCCATTTAGCAATTTGATAGCAACCGCCTTTTTAAAGAAATGTAACTGATTTTAAAAAGAGTGTGATGTAGCTGATATGTTTTATGTCGTAGAATAAAATGTGAAAGTATCTTGAGTTTGTGCCACAAACTTTATTTAAGCGATTTAACTGAAATCCCATTAAAAAAAAATATTGATTTTGGGATGAGGGAACTGGAACTGCTAAAAATGCTAACTCGCTTCCGGGTTTTTGCTTACAAATTGACGTCATAGTTCCTCTACTCTATTGGTGTTGTAAATCACAGTTCAAGATCTGATAATAAACTTTTACAATTATTGGCATTTTACAAGACATATTTCTGTATAAATTATTCCTGATTCAATATATAGTTTATAACTACAAAAATATCAATAAAACTCAACTGCACAGTTGAATTTTCAACATCAAAAGTCAAAAGAGCAGAGATCAAGGTCTCATAATGCAATTCATAACTGTAAATTAAAAGATAACATTGTAAATATGGAAACTAATAATAAATATAACTCTTTAATTCAGTAAGATCTTCAGCGAATCATATTGATCAATGCCTAAATACACAGTCGCTGCCATGTGTTTGGCTGATTGGGTTTTTTGCATTATTAAGCAGTTAAACAAAAGTACCTAATAAATGTTGGTGAGTGTACATTTTATCAGTGAAATATCAACGATTTAAGTGAAAGATTTAAAAAATGTGTAGTGTCGCCTCTGCTTTATGCACAACAGGACTAAATACATTAATTCAGTAAATATAGATTAAACAGAAAGACTTATAAATTCCAAAACCATCTTGTTCTCCATTAAAGAAATAATTATATATATATTAAAGTGCTCAACATACAGTAAGTGCACTCCTCATAAATGTCTTAAATAGATTAAAATTGTATATTTGTGCATAGTCAATACTGAAGCCAAATCTGGAGGTACTGTAAATAACTTATGTTAATAGTCCAAAATTAGTACACCCAAATTTATATGTTAGGAGAAAATGTTAAATAAAAAAGAGCAACATTCAAGAGACAAAATAACTGGATACAGTTGTATTCAAATTTTGTATTTTTTTTTTTTTGCAATACTTCACCAGTTTAAATATATTATTTTTCTATTTATAAAGATGTTCCATGACTAAATTATTATTATTTTAATAAAAATATCAGTTTGATACATCTGTTTAGTTCAAATGCAGCCAAATATATTACCTATAATTACTGAGAAATATATATTCATTTTCAAAATGGGGTGTACTTACTAATGTTTAGCATTGTTAATATTGCTTGAAGTCATCCAAACAAGAATAAAGCATATTTCATGAGCTACATAAATTTAGTTTATGAAATTTAAATTAGATAAAAGAGTAACTTAAAGACATGACACAGTGGCTCAGTGGTTAGCACTGTCGCTTTACTGCAAGAAGGTCACTGGTTCAAGTCCCGGCTGGACCAGTTGGCATTTCTGTGTGGTATATGTGAATTAAATAAATTAAATTGGCTCTAGTGTATGATTGTGAATAGGAGAGTCTACAGGTTTTTCCTAGAACTGGATTGCAGCTGTAAGGGCATCCACTGCATAAAACATATGCTGGATAAGTTAGCGGTTCATTCTGCTGTGGCAACCTCTTATTAAAAAAAGGGACTAAGCTGCAGAAAAATAAATGAATGAGTATCTTAAAGAGATTGTTCACCCAAAAACAAAATTTCTGTAATCATTTATTCATGCGTTCCAAACCTGTGTTAGTTGACTCTAACACAAAGGAAGACATACCAAAGAATGTTCATTATATAGTATTTTTGTGTCTACTATGGAAGTCGGTGGCTACTTTGTCCAACATTCTTCAGAATATCTTGTCTTGTGTTAAACAGAAGAAATAAATTCTCTTTTGAGCGTGAGTAAATGTGTAGAAAGTGTCATTATTTGGGTGAACTTTTCCTTAAAGCATATTGCTCAACCACGTTCCCGGAAGACCACCAACTCTGCACATTTTCCATGTCTCCAAAACACATGATTTAGATCATTAGCTCATTAGCAGCGACTGAAAGACCTGTAATGGGTGTGAAAGACAACGGAGACATCCAAAACATCCAGTGCTGGTGGTCCTCCTGGAACATGCTTGAGAAACACTGCCTTAAAGTGAGATATTTAAAATAAAATGCCTAAGTTTAAAAATAGGATATATATTCAAAATTTGAACCTAAACACTTGGCTTAGCAGAGATTTCTCAATTACTTAATAGTGTCTCTTTCTCTCTGTGCAATATCATTCCTTTGTTTACATTTTTCAAATTCCCCCAATTAATAATTATGGCCCTCAGCACAAAGAATCAATGGTGGAGATTATAAAGACACTAAATAATAGTACAGACGCAAAATAAAGTAATTTGTACTGTCTTTATTCCCTTTACTGAGACTCTTACCATAACAAGTCTTGATGTAGCGAATGACGCTGATGGCGGCAATGGTAAACATGCCGCAGAGGCCAAAGATGTAGCAGCCCAGACCATAATACACACAGGTAATGTGACGTCCCAGCCATACGTGGCTAAAAGACGACAGGATGGACAGTGGGTAGAAGCAGATGCAGCAAAGAAAGTCAACCACCGCCAAATTGACACACAGCAGCTCTGAACCGGCTATCTTCTTCCTGCGGCGATACGAGATGACCAACACGACTCCATTCCCCAGAACTGACAGTATCACTGTAACAGCAAACAGATAAGGATTAGGGATGTGCCGATCAGTTTTTTTGCCCTTAAGTCAGAGTTCGAGTCATTTGATTTTGAGTATCTACCGATACTGAAACGCGATTTTAAACTTCTAGAATACATAAAAAAAGACTAAAGCAAAGAAACAGATCTAAGATGTTCCTTATTTATTTTGGCTTGAAAAGCCCACACAGTTGCACTACATAAACATAATTTTCTTCTTCTTCTCAGACTATTTTAAGAGCGCATCTCCTCCTACACTGTTAACCCTTACTGTAGATTATGCAGTAAATAACAGTAAAATAGCCAGTGTTTAGTTGTAATGAAAGGAAACAGTATTTTACTGTAAAAGGAGCAGGATTTGTATGAAATTCTGTAGTGCAAAGAATAAATTACAGTAATTTACTCTATGTACCATTACAGATATTTACTGTGATAATAAATGGTAAATTACTGTTCAACCATTACTGCCCTATCTACTCTGATGCTTTATGTTGCTATTTTATATTTATTTTATCTCTGTGTTTTCTTTGGTTCCTTTTATGTTTTTAACATTGAGTATCAGGAGTCAACCAATGCCACAGAGCTTATTAAAAGGTAAGTGTAAGATATGGACGAAATGCATTTAAAGGCAAAAAATATTCACACAGAGCAAAGAAATTGTCACAATAATTTTTATAACTTTGTTTACTTTTTCTATAATTAATCTAATTTAATTGCCTAGTTCGACCTATAGTTAAGATTTTAAATCGCACTTTCAACTGAATATTAGTATTTTGCTAAATAACTAGTAAAAATGTGTTATCAAAAAATATATATATCTTAAACAACACGCACATACATTTTTGCAGAGACTCAATGAATTTGTCTGGAAAACTGGCAAGTAAAAGTGCCATTACAGTATAAAGGCTTTCCTAAATAAATGTATAAATCATGATTTTTGTTGTGTTTTTTATTATTTTTTACTACCGATTTGGAATGACATGAGAATCAGATTATTTATTTATTTATTTTCTATGGATGAAGTTTGTATTATTGTATATTTTTATTGTTTTTATTAAACGATATGTGCATAACTGTGATAAATGTAGGCAGTTGCTTTGAAAATATGCTATGTACCAGGGGTGTCAAACTCCTGGAAGGCCACAGCCTAGCAGAATTTAGTTCCAGCCCTGCTTCAACACACTACCTTTAGATTTAGTTTGATCAGGTGTGTTTAATTAGTATAACTGCACTGTTACTCTGTAGATTGTGCAGTAAATAACTGTAAACAAATAATGATTTAGGCATCACCACACACTCCCACAGGCTGTCCGTCTTTTTCTAAACACAAAGGTGTTAGAAAGAGTTTTCAGAAAATGCTGGCCCTTTAAGAGAGCCAGGTGTTTGATTTGTTTACTGCTGAGTGTGCTCTATTCTCTGTCTATCAATTCAGATGTTGAGTCTGATATGTTTAGGCTTAAATAAGAATCTTAAATGAGTAAGTAAAATGTGTTCAAATGTTTTTGGGGGTTTATAAAATAAGGCTGTGTTTTAAGTTATATTGTAGTTATCTTGAACTGTGCACTTGAAAGCTACATTGTTAGCTAGTTAGCCTCTCCTCATATAACTTCTTACATTACTTTTGTTTAAGTATATGTATTTATTTTATATTGCACACTGCCATAATGTACAGATGCTAACAGTTGTGTGTATCTTTCTGGCAACTAAGCCAAAATTAAATTCCATCATCTCAGTAAGGTAACATGTGCACATCATCACAGGGAATCACAAAAACATGATACACATAGATACACATAGCCATCCACACACAAAAGCTCCCCTGTCAGGTCCCAGGTTGTGAGTTTGTTGCTAAGTATTTTTCAGAGCAGTGTTTCCATCTATGAATTTATATTAGAAACAATAAAAAAGTTTGTTGTCATGAGAGAATTATAACAATAAAAGATTGGATCCTTTGGTTTTTCGGTGTTGCCAACTTTATTTTTGTTTTCTATAATTATTTTAAACTTTTTGAGATTTGACACAGTTTTTAATTATTTAAAACTTTAAAATTTAAAATAATTATTTTGTTTTTTGCTGTTCAGTTTTTTTTTTTTTTTTTGCATGGTCAGCATTGAGGAGAGAGTAACACATTTCACTGCAGCACTTTGTGTGTGTGTGTGTGTGTGTGTGTGTATGTTTATTGGATATGTGATTGTGATAAATGTTAGCAGTTGCTTTAAAAGTATGCTATATATAAGGATGTCTGACGTGAAACTGACGTTTCGACACAGTGTCGAGATCCCGAAGCGCAAGTGTTTCGAAACACTGCACCGAAGCATGATCCGAAACACCCAGGTCACGTGACTAAATTGTTTCGAAACACTTGGTCACGTGACTAAAGCGATTCAAAGCATTGATCATTTCAGAGTCGTTTCAAGACCCGGAGAATCTGCATTTGACTATATAATAACGTACTTATAACTGAAATCGTACCTGTGTCTTGTATGGCTTAGTGGACTGTGCGTGTGTTCAACAGCACTGTGTTACAAATTTGTTTTGGGTTCGAATCCCGACTAGTCCAAATACTATAAAATCATGATTTTATATATTTTAATCATGTTACTGTTTTATGGTGTAGTCTAGATAGGATACAGCTACGGATATGCCATCAATTTAGCATCATTTTTGTATCACTGTAAAACAATAATTCATATTTTTACAGTACTGTGATGGGTTTAGGTTTTGGATAGACGTTAATAAAATACAATGGGAAATTTAATTAATAATATAAATAATTATTGTTAACTCCTGGCCACAACTGTATCTGATCTAGCAACAACCCTGTTTTATGAACAAAACAATACAAATTTATTTACAAGGTGTTTATTCGTATGTCAGAGCAATGTTGAAACAAAACGATACAATAACAAAGCATTACCAACTGCTATTAAAGCATTTCAAAACAATTGTTTCAGTTAGGATTCGATCCCATCATTCCCGCATGTTGGTCATGAACTCTAACCGCTCGTCTAAACCACTTGCAGATACAAGGCTACAAAGTAGGGTTTGATACCCTAATTTGCTCAACTGTTCTTTGCCGATGCTGTTTCAGTGAAATACAAATAAAATGACCACTAGGTGTCGCTGTAGAGTGGTGTTTCGAAACGTTTCGAAGCTTCGACACATTTGCTTCGATAGTTTCAGTGTTTCACGAAGCCTCGCTTTGCCCACCACTAGCTATATACCAGGCGTGCTTAATCCTGTTCCTGGAGATCTACCTTCCTGCAGATTTCAGTTGCTATCCATATCAAACACACCTGAACCAATTAATTACGATCTGAACACCACGTGATAATTACAGGCAGGTGTGTTTGATATGGGTAGCAACTGAAATCTGCAGGAACGTAGATCTCCAGGAACAGGATTAAGCACCCCTGCTATATACCATGGGGGTCAAACTCCAAGTTACTGGAGAACTGCAGGGCAGCAGAGTTTAGTTCCCACCCTTCTTCAACATTACCTGTAGATTTCTAACGAGCCTTAATTAGTTTTATCAGGTGTGTTTAATTAGAGTTACCGCTTAAAGTCCCGGTCACACTGCACTTTTCTCCCTATAGACTTCCATTCATACGCATGTGAATGCTGCAGACCTGGAATGCATGCTCATGCGACAAATTTTACAGTTTGCAGCATTGGAAAGTTCAAGTTTGGAGAACTCTGAACTGTGAAATCACATCATGTGATTGCTTGAGACTAATCAAAGATCAAACCATGACCTCTCTGAACAAAAATTATGGACCAGTTGCTTGCTTTTTTAATCTCTAAATATTTTGTTTAATCCCACTCCTTTTCGCAGAGCCATATGACAGAATTTTGCATGCTTAAACGTTAGTTTGACTGCAGCCTTGCTGTGCAGACCTGTGGCTCAGTAATACGTAAGATGATATTTATGTCTGCTGATTTCTTAATTTTGTTATACGTTTTCTGTTTTATGTTTGTTTGCTGCCAAAACAATAAAATAAATTTGTCAGAATTTACAACTTAATTAATTTAAAGAATTAATAAAAGGCAAGAATACTAATTAATTTTAGTAACACCTTGACATACTATTGTGTATGCAGTATAATGCTGTGAGTACACTACAGTACAGTAATTAACTGTACACAGTTTCCTGTTAGTTACCACTACTGCTCTATTACAGTGATTAACTGGCAACACTGTTGCCAGCTATTCACTGCAATGGTTCGGATACAGTAAACAACTGGCAACACTGTTGCCAGCCACTCACTGTAATGGTTCAGTTTCAGTAATTAACTGGCAACACTGTTGCCAGTTACTTACTGTAACCAAACTTTTACAGTGAGTAGCTGGCAACAGTGTTGCCAGTGTTCTACTGTAAAAAAGCCTGGTAAGGTCTAACAGTGTAGACTGTTCATACTTCAACCACCAAAATATATTGAATTAAGTTGCTATATCTTTTCCAACTAATCTGACTTAGGGTTTTCTGAAAACTCACCCGGAAAATTCAGAAAAGTCCCATTGACAACATTGGACCAAACTTTGTGACCTCATAATTTGCGCCAGACTGTCATACAGATTTAAGATTGGGCTCAACTCAGACTACCAATCTGCCAATCACTAAAAACCTTTCAATCGACTAGCCACACCCTAGCAACCACTTATGGAACCCTAGCAACTGTCTCATTGACTTCCATTGGCTTTACATTGGACATACTAACAACAAACCAATCCATACTAACAATCTACTATTCCATACTGGAAACCTACCAACAACAACATACCAATCCACACTAGAAACATATCATACTAAAAACTTACTAGCCTCCTAAAAATACTAGCAACAAGCTAATTCACACTAAAAACATACTAGCAGCACTCTAATTCATTTTAAAGTCATGCAAACAATTTTCTAGTTTATATTGGAAATATGCTAGCTTAATGGTAATCCATACTAGAACCATGCTAACAACATGCTAATTTAAGCTAGAAGGATGCTAACAACATGTTAATTCAAACTAGATCCATGCTAAATTATGTTAGCAACTGCCTGGAAACCATTCATAACACCTTCGCAACTGCCTAGCAACACATTAATAACCACCTATAGCAACCACCTAAAACACCCTAGCAACCACCTAATAACTACCCAGAACACCTTAGCAACCACCTAGCAACACCTTAGCAAACAGAGCGGTGGTTCTCAAACTTTTTTCAACAAGTACCACCTCAGAAAAAAATTGTCTCTCCAAGTACCACCATAACGACGAGGCAGATTAATTCCTATTATAAGAATATTTATTCTTGTCAGCCACTTAAACATTATACATAATTTGAACATTAACACTGTACTGTGCTTATAGGTAAAAACAAACAAAATAAAAAGTCGTGTTTAAATGTGCTTTTAAAAATGTATTAAAAATGGTGAGCTACTGTCCTTTAAGTTAAAAGAAAACAGCTGTATTTAAATGTAAATTATTAATAAATAGTAGCCTGTTAATCAAAACCTGGAAATGTTGCTTGGACCTCATACATATATGATTTATGCCATCATGTTCATATATAGACCATTTTTGTTGCATATACACATACATTACGTGTGTCAAGAGAAGTGAGTTACAGTATATGCATAAATACACTGTTTGACCAATTCATATGTGATTTATCCATTCATACGATCTTAACAAATTGCTATTACAAAGTAAAGCCTTTTGGATTTTCACACTAAATACATTGTCTCCAAAAGGTTTAAAAGAAGAGTTTGACATTTGTCCATTTTAATAATTCTTTAATGTTTAATGAGGTGTTTTTTTTTTTTTTTTGGCTATATTTTATCATATATTTTGTTGTATTTCTTTGTTATATTTTGTTTTCTATATTTTGTGATGCAAAATTTAGCTTTGTTTCTGTTATTTTCGTTTTGAATATCCAAGTTATGTGATTTATAAATGTTTTTTTTTTTTTTTTTTTTTGTGAGATAATAGGAGATCATGTGATTCGGAAGTGTACAAAAAGGAGCACCCTACTGTGATGAACACTGTCTGATAAAGAGCCATGTGCTTGAAACGTTACACACTTTGTGTCAGCATTTTTAAATGTAATAAATGTACATTTTTGGAGCTTTGGTGTTGCCGCATTTTTGAATATATAATTTGCACTCTTGCATTTTGGCTGAGCTTTTTGGAAGAGTGCTTGCATGCTTTTGTACATTTTTTCATTGTTTTTTCAACATTTAACATTTTTATTAAACAACATTTGTGGTTTACTATATCTCATTAGATTTGACATGCTTAATATAGGCTTCAAATATGAAGGAAATATGTATCATCAGTAACCATTAATATAGGCTTCAAATATGAAGTAAATATGTATCATCAGTAACCATTAAGTTTGTGATCTGAAAAAAATAAACATTTTTATTTGGTTTGGTTTATTTGGTTGAAAAAACTTAATCACTGATAGGATCAGGATAATCCTGTTTTTTTTTTTTTTTTTTTTTTTTGTATCAAATAGATCCCAATCTGAGTTCAAAATTTTGAATATCCCAAAAAACAGGTTTGATCTACATCAAATATTAGATTGGATTACATGTTCTGAACTTAATTCGAAATCCCTCTGTTACTTTTGAAAAACCCATGGTCACACTTTATTTTGATCGTTCGTTTGTTGAATTTAAGTGACATTGCATCTACATACCAATTAATTCTCAATAGATTATAAGTAGACTTATAAGTTGGGGTTAGTGTGAGTTGACATGTGCTTGCAGAGTTTCTAATAGTCTGTTAAATGTCAAAGGGGCAGCATCAGTAGATATTAAGCAAACTGCACTAATACTCAAATGGACCATCATAAAAACTGTTACCAAACCCATTTCCAAGATTTGATCCAATTTGTGATCCAAAATCCCGATGGATTACTTTTGTAAAACTGGGCCCAGCTGTGGCGGGAGCACTTTCTTATCTTAGCATAGTTAATTGAATTGGATTAGACAATCAGTAGCTCCGCGACATTGCACAGTATTGTTCTTATTGTTAAGGACATACTGGGTGTTTTTCTTGTTGCTTTTGTTTTGTTTTGAACTGTCTTATTGGATTGGATTATTGATTGCTGCCTGCTAGGATCACTTGCCTGTCTTTTTAATACTCGTTTGGATTGCCCCCGTGACTCTGTGGTTTGACCCCATTTGACCCTGCCTGCTTCTCTATTTATTGTACTAATAAAGCTGGATTAAGATCCTCATCTCTGTTGTCATGCCCAATTCATAACATAGTGTAAGACATGTATTGCATTTAGTAGGTATTTTGTGTTTTATTTTTGATTTTGAAATAAAATGAGAAAATTTCATTTGAAAAATTAGGGGAAAAAAAAGCTTTTTGTTTGCAGAGGATTTGAGCTGCAAAAGAAAAAAGAAAACACATAGACAAATTTCTCTTTCCCAGCTCTGGCCCACACAGTCAGCTTTTGCTTCGCTCACATGCCGCAGTGATTTACTGTACATGACTGGACCATGACTGCACTGAAAAAAAAAATTCAAACATGATTCCTTGCATTTAATAATTTTTTTTACATTAAGTGGTTGTAAACAATTTATTTGGGCTGAATTTAAACGGACAAATTGAGTTGAACGCTATTAAACTTAATTTGTTTGTTTAAATTCAACACAAATAAATTCTTTGCAACAGTTCTGCATGCAACACACTAATTTCACTTAATGGTGTTCACAGTACTCATTTAGATTATTTTTTTAACTCAAATAGTTTGTATAGTTTGTAGCAATCGGTTCGCTCAAACAGTTTGAGTTGTTTTAACTCATTGGGTTTTACAGTACTCGGTTGATTTGAGTTCTCTTAATTTATTGGGTTTTACTGTGCTCAAATTGCTTCATTTACTTAAATGGATTAAGTTCACAGTACTCATTTGGATTAGTTTTTTTTATCTTTAATGGTTTGTTGCAATCAGTTTTCTCAAATGTTTTATTACCTTAACTTTTTGGGTTTTACAATGGCAATTTTTACTTGTTGATTTAATTATTAGGTTTTTTTTTATTTCATCAGAATGGTAAGGGACTTTTTTGGCGCTTACTATCGTATTAGAGTCGAAAGGTATGAATGGTCCTGAAAAAATCTATAGTTCGTTATTAAAAATTAATAGAAATCTAGGCTGAAAACATATTATTTGCATTGGATATGGAAAAAAAAAGATTAGATTTTTTTTAAACAACAAACTTCACAATAAACAAAAATTTAATAACTTTTTAATGTAACCTCTTTGATTTTCCTTTTTATTTGTATATTTTAAAAACTTTTAGAAAGCATGTCAGTGTGTGCTACAAAGCATTTAAGAAGGAAATTAAAACTAGAAATTTCATTTAAAGGGATTGCTATAGGTCATGCATGAATTTAAAGTAGCCTACTGTATAAACAGTACAACAGCATATAAAATAAAAATACATTATTGAACCAATATTAATAAAAGCTTTATTTTAACAGTTACCCCAGAGGGTGCCAATTTTACCATATTAAACGGATAAAATGAAAAGTGTAAAAATGAGAGAATAAATCACTCACCAATGGACATTATGATTAATCCAACCGCGATATCAAGAGCTGGAGCAAGTTTTGAGGTAAAGCTGTCTGCGCTAGAGTTCCCTGCACGAAGCTCTCCATTTCTCAATAAGTTCGATAACATATCGAGTAACCAAATATCACGTTTATAAAATAGATTGCATGTAGGCTACAGCTGATTCCCGCTTCAAAAGAGAACACATACGTCCAACGACAAATCCCTGCATCTCCTCCGGGCTCCCGTTCATCCATCAGTGAACATCAGACGGGGAGACTGCGCACTTTCTGCTGTCGTCGTATGTTTATAGAAGAGAAAAAGCAACATAGGGAGTAAAAGAAGACAAAATTCTGGAAATTATAGGATTTACTACATTTATACTATTATAAGATGACTACAAAATGTATTTATTTATATATACTAATTTTATTGCATTTAGATAAAATATATTGGATATAGCAAGCATTTTTGTGTGTTTAAAAGAAGTCTAATAGACATCTAAACTAGATGACTAAAACAAAAATTTGGGCTGTTGATGAAAATCTAATAGACTCTAAGAATAGCCAAAAACTAGACTAGTCATCAAATACATAGGAACGAATGACTACACATGCAAATCTGTCTAATCTGTCTACTTGATGACTAGTCTAGTTTTGGGCTATTCTTAGATGTCTAGATTTTCACTGACAGCCTAAATTTATGCCTATTTTAAACAAAAAATTATTAGGTTGTTTAGGTTTATATGTGTATCAAATTTATTGATACTGTATTTATTCTTTTTTATTAACAAGAAATAAAATTTGTTTGTTTGTAGAGATGTTTTGAGCTGTGGAGGAAAAAAGTCATATAAGTTAATTAACTTATATAATTTTAACTCTATTTGCTTTCTATTTGCAACTCTCCTGAAAAATGAAGTCACACTTGTGTTGTTCTTCAGCTGAAAATACAACAAGCTGAAAATATGAATTTAATTACATGTATTAATTAATTCATTCTTTTTGCCTAACATTCTGGGCTGTAGAAAGGCGCTCATCTCTTTTTTCAACAGAAAAACAAATAAACTCTTTATTAAATTCAATTTACATTAATTTGTTTACACTTTTTGATGCAGCTTTACCAAAAAAGAAAAAAAAAGAAAAATTGATATTTCACATTTAAGTGCAATTTATCTTTAGCGATTTTAGCAGGATTTAACATTAACGTTAAATTATGTTTCTGGATTTTAATCTTAAAGAATTAAAGCCATCTTGAACTAATTTTGAACTAAGTTTTCTGAAAGTGCTGTGTAAAATCAGGCCTGCTCTTAGATGTCCTGAAACTATGGCTTCCAAGTCTTCAGTACTCATCTTCAGTACACATCCAGTCTGCTTCTTTTGACAAAGTTACCCACAAGATCATAACAAAGGGCATCAAACTGCACTGCTAGCATCTTGGAGGCTTGGGGTGTCCCAGTCACATATTATAGCTAATGGGGTGCCTCAGGGCTCAGTGTTTGGACCCCTCGTCGTCTCTATCTAGGAGCTGTCATTCAGAAACATAGATTTTCAAACTTAATCTTCCAAAATCAAACAAAGAAACCGCACAGGGGTAGCTTAATTTAATGAGTCAGTGCTTTTTGGGTGAGGGATTCATCAGAATAAACAGCAAAAGTAAATTCAAAGCACTTAAAATGTGGGAAAATTGTTAAAACGCCTTTACTAACAGGGCTATTCCTTAAAATTGTGTCTACACATTTTGACAAACACTATTTTTTCCACATTTTTTTAAGTGACTTGGACTAACTTTTGCTGTTTATTCTGACAACTCCCTCTCTCATTCCAGACTGATGCAATCAAAAGAAAAAGCATGATTATTTTTCACAGTTCAGTGCAATTTATTCATTCATTCTTTCATTTTCTTTTCGGCTTAGTCCCTTTATTAAACTGGGGTCGCCACAGTGGAATGAACCGCCAACTTATCCAGCACGTTTAACGCAGCGGATGCCCTTCCAGCTGCAACCCACCTTTGATAAACATCCATACACACCCATACATCCCAAGCGTACGCAGGGAGAACATGTAAACTCTACACAGAAATAACAACTGACCCCGCCGAGGCTCGAACCAGTGACCGTCTTGCTGTGAGGCGACAACACTACCTTCTGCATCACTGCATCACCTAGTGCAATTTATCTTTAACAATTTAAGCATTTACTGTTTTTTTTATTTATTTATTTTTTTTTTTTTTTTTGATTACAGAATTTTTTTTACATTACTGAATTGTTTCTGAATTTACTGTGGTGGAATCTCCATTTGACAATCATTAGCCAGGTAGCAAAGTATTCTAGCCCAAATTTGGCATAAATCTGGCAAAGCAGGTATTCCGGCACTGGTATACAGCATGTGGGCCGAACATAGCCCTGGTTTGGCAAAGGTGGCACCATCTTTAAGGCAGCACACAATACTTGGGCCAGATGTAAAATGCAGTATTTGGCCCTGATGTTAATAATTGATTTGTGGGCCATGTAAGTTTGGTCTTTCTTGACCCATAGTTAAAATACATTTTTGTTAATTTTCAAATATGAAGAAAAAAATTGTACCAATCTGGTCGCTTCAAGGAAAAGCACGCCTATAGCACAATGATTCATGCGTATATCAATTTAGTTAACAAAGCTGGCCCAGTTCAGGCTCAGTTATGGGTTACTACCTTGGCTGAGACTTAGCCCAGATATGGTTCATGTTTGGCCCTTGCCTGGAAGTTAGACATGTTCATGTACCGTAAATCACTGCGGCTTGCGGACCAAGTAAAAGCTGATTGTGTTGGCCAGAGATACAAATGAAATAAGGCACTTAATTTATTAATTTGTTTGACACTTATGTGCTTCAAAAATTCCTGCAGCTCCTGATGGGTTTGCACACAGCAGATTCAAGGTTGAGCAGTGTGGCAATGAAGCTGGCAATGAACTCAGCTTTTTGAAAGAGGTAAAATATAGTGTCTTTGCAAAGAACCTGTAAATAAATAAATATGTACTAGATGTTGCAATAAGAGTACATTTGCTCACTATATGCACAATTAATAGCCTAGAAGATTATCTGCTGTCAGAGTGATGGGCTGTTTTTAATCTCAATTCATCCCTGCAAATGATCATTGCATCATCAATGGGTTCCTCCTAATCCCTCCTTAAAGAAAATGGTAAAAAGATGTATAAAAGAAAATCTGATGAAATAATAACTGAATAAGTGGTTGATTTAAATTCTTATATTTTAGTTATTATAAAATATAACTACATAACAGAAACAAAAATAATTTATTTAATATACGCAGAATGAGAGCAACAAATAAAAATACATAGGCCTATATGCAATTTTATATATTAGTAGAGTCAAACATTTTCTTGTTTTTTTTCAGATGAGCATGGGTGGAATATAAATTACAAATGATGCACCGACAAAATTTAATAGAGATGAGGAATCCAACGCAGCACAATATAAGAAGCGCGCTTTGATTCATTCGTTGTTGTGTAAAAATACAGAAAGTGTGCAACTGTGTTTTGAACCTTTTTAGCTATTTTTAAACCTCTATCGTCATTATTCAAACCCTTTAAACCTCAAAGATCTTGATATGTTTCTGAGTGATAAAACAGAGGCCTCTGGTGGTGTAACCATATATTGCATCCATGAATTTACTAAAATCTTGTTTTTTTTCTTTGACGTTTGCTATTATTCCCATGGAACGCAGCTGATTTTTTAAAAGCAAAATCTAAATCTAAACTTTTTTTTTTATAGGAAATGTTAACTAGGATAACTAGGATCTGATATTTAGAAACACAGATTTTCATATGACACTCATATGTTATTCCAGTCTGCTTATAACATCTATGCATGTTTGCAGATCTTTTTTTTCCTGAGTTACCAATAATTGATTATGAGATTTTTAAAACAACATTCGCACTTTAATCAAGCTAGCTTTTAACAGCAGATGTTGCATTATGCTAATGTTTAACAGCAGATGGCGCTGTAAGCTAGTTTTTAACAGCAGATAGTGTTGAAGAACGTTCACTCAAATGCACAGGAAAAAGAGCACTTGAGCATGAAGTTGAGTTATGTAACTTGTGTTTTATGTTATGATATTTCACAACTCACTACGAACACTAACTTTATTAATGAATATTTTAGATTCAAGTGGTATTTGGAAGAAATTGGATGCAAGCAGAGTGATTCTGTTTGTAAAGCCTAAAGCGCCATCTGGTGTTAAAACCTGAACTGTCCATCAAATTAAGATAGAATAGCGATGCATTTTGACAACCTCAGATTTCATTCAATTCACTCACTTTTTTCGGCTTAGTCCTTTTATTCATCAGGGGTCGTCACAGTGGAATGAACCACCAACTTATCCAGTATATGGTTTACATAGTAGATGTCCTTCCACCTGCAACCCAGTACTGGAAAACACCCATACACTCTCACAATTACACTCATAAAGTCAATTTAGTTTCTTCAATTCACCTATAGTGCATGTCTTTGAACTGTGGGGAAAATCGAACTACCTGGAGGAAACTTATGCCAATACAGGGAGAACATGCAAACTCCACACAGAAATGCCAACTGACCCAGCAGGGACTTGAACCAGCTACCTTCTTGCTGTGAGGTAACAGTGCTAATAACTGACCCAACGTGCTGCAAACAGAATTGTTTTAATTAATTATTAGTTTATTAATTGAGAATCTATTTTTAGTTTTTTTGTCACAGCTTTACAACCATTACCTTCAAGTTTTTCTGTCTGGCTAGGCAGATCAACGATAACTACTTCCAGGAAAACCAATAAACTTGTGGTTGTGACCTGTGATTGACTGAACTCCACAAACCACAATGCCATAACTGCCCAATCTGGCAGATTTGCCTTATACAATATTAAAAGGATCAGGTCCTTCTCGGCCTTGCTATTGCAATGCTCTTTTGGCCTGTCAACCAGGACTATCAAACCTCTGAAAATTATTCAGTGTGAATCAATGAGGTTTTAATAAACCAGAAAAAGCACAAGTCACACCTCAACTTTATTAACTGAACTTGTTAGCACCGCTCATATCAGATTCAAGGCAATCCTTAACTGAATTTACTGTATAGTAAATTTTTTTCTATCTATCTGCG